GTTTCTTTAAGCTGTTCGATTCGCTTATATAATCTAATTACCCGGTGCTCTGTATTTAACCAACTAATTAATTCATACCTTTTCTAACTATTGTTTCTACTCTACTTTTTGTCAAGACAATTTGACGATTTAAGGTGAGACTTATAACTTAGGATAAAATTACTAAGCATTCAACCAGCAATGAGCGCTTAGTAAAAAAACAAAACTATGTATTCAATGCATCATCGAAACAGGTCTCAATATGCGATAAGTTTTAAGTTAAACATGATAAAAAAATTGCGTCACAGTAAAAAAAAATCTCTGTATGACGATTTTTTTCCAATTTACATTTCAAAATCCACAACCTGGTTGAAGTTCTAAAGTTCGTACCCCTGAGTATCATTGTTTTTATATTTATTGCCAAAACTTTTTACACACCTGATCACGTAGAAAAAACCTGTTAAAAATCTAATTTACCTAAAAAAGCAATAGTTTTTGAACACTTATTTTGCTCAAAGTCACAGATATTTCCAACAATTAGGCATTCTGGCCAACACTTAACGATAATTAATTGCATTAATGATGGCCTCTCTATAGGTTTCTACGACAGACTGAATCTGGAGTTTGTGTTGTCGCGGGAGGTTGGCTTCTTCGTGTTCCAGACATACATGCCATGCATTATGGTGGTCTGCATGAGCTGGGTCTCCTTCTGGATCAACAACGAGTCTAGTCCCGCCAGAGTAGCTCTAGGTCAGTAAACATAGTGACGTCCCGCACTGGAGCCGAAAAATTACATAATATGATTTGAAGTTGACTTTAGTAACTGTTATATAATTGTTACATACATTACGAGGCCAAATTGTGCACTGGATAGGCGCACAATTTTGTGCCTGTATGTTCCTGGATTCGAGAGACTACTTTTTTGGATGGTTTGCATGGTAGCTGGCTTGCACTTCGGTTGATTTATATACCATCTGGACTTCCATAGATAATAATTAATTCATGGTCTAAATTTGAAACTTTAATGGATAATAATGACAATGTAACTCATGAAACTCCGGTTTGGAGTACTATCATTACGCATACATTTCACTAAGTATACTTTTTAGTGGATAATTTCCCTGTATTTGCCCTGGATGATTTGTTCCCTGTTTTTGCCCTGGATGATATTTGATTTAAAACTGCTCGTATATCAAGACGAAGCCTTAAATGTTCTGACGGCACTTCAAAGCTAATTTAAATGTTTTTTGTTTCGAAAGTTGACAAAGCAAATTAAAACAAAAGTTAAAATATCAATTTTTTTTCATTTTCTTCCCCCGCGCTAAATTGAATTAAAAAGGGATGTATTCAGCGCCTGTCATAAAAAGAAGTCTGTCATTTTGAATTAGAGTAACGCAGTTTTTGATCCACTACCCAAGTTTTACATTTTTGAACATTCAAATTTTAACAGTTTAATTATTTTCTCAAAAGTATTATCTTTTTTCACCTGTCACTTCAGACGAATTAAACCGCAGTCACGACATTGATGACTTCGTATATATACGAGCAGTCAGGGGCGGATTTAGGGGGGGGGGGGGGGACGGGGGGCGGACGCCTCCCCCTCAGGGATTCGACCTCCTGCCGACCCAAAGGGTCCCCCCTTTGGTACTTTTTAAGAAATCCATTTTTTGCCGACCGACCCTAAAATTTTTCTAAAGGCGCCTTTGGCGCCAATATATACTAACTTTGAGGGCGAGCGAGCGCCAAAAAAACGCGATTTTTTTAGCAAAATTTTTCAAAAAGTGCCTAAAAACGGCTTTTTTGACCTGTTTTTTCAAAAATTTGCCTGCGGCGCACAAAATTTGGCAAAAACAGGGACCTTTTACTGCTTTAAAAGAGCTCGGATAATCAATTTGGTCGACCTAAAAAAAAAGGTCGTCGCCCCCCCCCCTCGAAAAAATCCTAGATCCGCCCCTGCGAGCAGTACTAATTAACTCTTGGGTTTTATAGTAAACTTACGATATCATGCTGTGTAATTCAACTTTGTTAAATATTTAAAACAATTGTTTTAGTGTCGAAAAAAATTTTCTGTAGACTGATGGACACAAAATGAACCGATCAGATTCATTTATAAATCAACATTCAATTTAATTATTCGACGGTTTGCACAAAAATTCAGTTATACTATCGTTGCCTTTGGAAAGGGAATAACAGTAAATGTAGTAGAAGAAATGGAAGTTTTGTGAGAAAAGAACATTAATGAGTCTTGTATTTTTAATTTTTTTTCAAAACTGATGTTTCTATACTTCAATCATTGTAGTCGGATTCTTTTGTTTTTATCAACAACCAGCTATCCAGTTCAAAATTCAAGTTGACCGATTCAATACTTAATTTTTTTACACATCAACTCAGGCAAATTTTTCATCTGTGGAAAAAAAGAAAAAAAAGTTTTTTTTTACAAATTCAGCTCATACGCAAAAAATTTTTCTGCGAAATTTGAGATTTTTTGTTCTATTTACAGTTATCTTTGGCTCGTTTTCCTTTTACCCTCCCACCTGCATTTTTTTATAATAAAAATTACTGTTCACATTGTCCGATTGTCATAAAAATTGACAGATAAATTAGGTCATGTCAAGCATATTTGGTTTTCACAATCAACCTTGTAAAACCACTCGTTTGACCATAAAAGTAATGCTTGTGTTAGGTGGGGGGAAAAGGAAAAAGAGCCTAACCTTTTAACAAAATAAAAATGAATGTAAGAGAATATAATTTATAAATACCAACAAAACTCCAGCAATAAGCTTCACAAAAAATAGCTGGAAATTTTCTGTGAAATTCCAGACTATTTAAACAAAAAACTCCTAAAAAATTTATGCAAAAAATATTCAAACAAAAAATCTAATAAATTAAGATTTAGTTGAGTTTAAGGAAAAATCTGAGCTGTGGCAAAGAAAAGCTAATCTGAAATTTAGCTTTTAAAATGGTACAGGCCCTTGCCGATGGGGAACCTATGTCGACGCAGACTAGAAGAATCCGTTGCTTGAAACTAATTTGACTGTAAGCAAGTTGAAAACATTCACTGAATCTTAAACTTAAACTACATACCAGACAAAAAATAAGCTAACGGTTCTTGTTCTTGCAAAAAATCTTGCAAAAATTACGTTTTCTGATGATGAAGATGAAAATATTATAACTCAATTAGCTCAGTTGACTTCACTTTTACTTCTGGCCTTTTTCCGCTTAGCAACTCAACCTTTGATTTCAACTGTCAATGTTCACCAGCCCAAATAGCGTTTCAAATGCCAAGGGACTAAATTAACAGATTTGGCAACTTTTCGAACCTCCCATGAGCCTTTATTACCAGCCCAAATACACGTGATCAAAAACTTGTCACGCTACCCAAAGTTGGTAAGACCATTAACCATATTAGTATTCAACTTTGGGGAACAGAGATGGAGGTAAATTAAAACAGAATCAGGACAGCTCAACTAAGTAATAAGTTATAAATAAGTTATAAATTAGCAAATAAGTTTCGCCCTAGTGCAGATTCAAATCCCACTGGAGAAGCTGACAACTCTGATTTTTCACTTTTTGGCAGGGTTCCCATGGTGAAACTCGAACCTTGTTGGGCAAATCGAATTAGGTCTAGTTGCAGGCAGAGGGTGACGTAAGGTCTTGGGCTAATTAGGTTTAAAATTGAGCCCTCACAACCCTATGGATTGATTGTGAATCGAATGTCACTTTTGGGACGTCATCGTTTTTAGAGGAAAATTTTGGTTCTCATGATCATCATTAAAAATATTTACAGATTAAAACAGTTCCGAGATAAAAGTGGTCAACGATGCTTTTTTTATCTGCACAGATAATAATTTGTAAGTTGAAACTTTAAAGTTTGTAGATCAACCGAATCATTTTTTCGGCATACTTTATACAAAAACACCAGTCGCGAAACAAATTTAAAAATTTTGATCGGTTATGGGACTTATACAAAATTGAAAGAAGAATAGCCGATTGTTTTGCGATTGGAAAAATTTGCGATTGGAAAAATTTTAAAAACGCTCAAAATAAGCAGTTTATTATCTGTCTTTTTTGTTCGCGGGGTGTGATGATAGAAACTGAACGAAAACACAAAACCTGAAAATTTTAAAATATTCAATAGTATTTGGGACTTAGGCATATTTGACAACAGTTTTTTTCTGAAAAGTGAATAGAAAAACAGTTTAATAAAGGTTAATTTTTTTCGAAAAATTTTTAAATTTTTTACTGGTTATTTTTTGAATTGTTTTACTCCCAAGAAGGCCGTGAAAAAAAGTTCATACCCGGGTTGAGTTAACAGTAAAAATTATCGCTAAATCAGAGATATCGCAGCGATTACCATCTATGGTTCAGTCTATGATCAGGTTCACTTTATCCATGATCAGGGCTAAATCATCGCTGAATTAGCGCTAAATTTTCAGGTCTCCATCAGACATAAACCATTCATGAATCAGAGAAGGATTTGCACTGCAATTACACTGAAGACCTATGAATCGGGGATATCTCAATTCTTAAAAAGTATCTATGAAAAATTTCGAGAAAAATTCAGTTATTTTTAGAGGAAAATCACAAACATCAGAAAATAAATGGTGAAAATCAAGATAAAAATACTGCAACAAGGAGAATCAAGTTTCTAGATGCTTTTCCTCACTCCAGTTCACAAACTGGTTCCCGGCGTGAGTATGGTTTCCCAGCCGACATTCTCTCTTGGGTAACATTGGCCTTGGTTCGTACTTTCGTACCTTTCAACAGCAGATTCAAGTGAATTTGCACAAAGTCCCGAATATTCAACGCGTCATACTCGCATTTGGACTTAATAACTACTTGAGATCCAGCACATTTTTTGAAAATTTTCTAAGTTGAAACGTATTTTATTTGGGGTGACTGATATTTAGCTTTTGATCCTTTCAGAATAAGGTTTCTGATAAGTTCTTTGAAACCCTTGATACCTGAGTAATCAGGGCCTTCAACGGAGATATCTCTGAATCAGCGATAATGTTTCCTGTCAATTCAACCCGAGTAGAATAATTTCACTAAAGTAAAGCTTTTTGTTATAAGCCTGCTCGCTTGCTTTATTTTTTGCTTGAAATCAAAGTTATAAGTTTCAGTCTAATTTTTCTTAAAACTGTGAAAACTTTCGATGTCATTCAAATTAAAACTGGAAGCATTTGGTTATGATCTATTGCTTACTTATTCTAATGACTATCTTATTCTACGTGAAACTGTTTTAAAAGTGTTAAGAACCTATATCGGAGGACGATATCAGAAACAAGCTAGTAACAGAAAAAGGTAACAATAGAACTAAAACTCAAGTGCTTACAAACTTTTTCACAATAATCGATTATTGAACTCTATTCAACATGATTGAACATAAAGCTTAGAGACTCTCATTATTTGTAAGAAAAACATCAGTTCAATTTTTGGAATCAACAAAATTTTTCCCCACTAAAAAGTTCTGTTTCACAAAAAGTACGCTATCTTGACATCAAAACATAATTCCGCTAAACTCCATGGTATTGAAACAAAGTACAATTTTGCATGTTTTACCTTTTAATTGTCTCAGCAATGGTTTTCAATGCTCAGGAAAAACCTGTACATGGACTCCAATAGCGATTCAAAAATACAAAAAGCCGCAAAACTAGCATAACAGTTTATTTGTTCATAAACAGGCCATAAGAAGTTGCCATTTAAAATGAGCCATTTAAAAGATTAGACGAAATAATAAAGTTAAGAAATGCTTTAAAAGTTGAAGATATTGTTTTCAAAAAATGGAAAATTTAAATCAGAAACCCCTTTAGGAAACATAACCAACGGAATGAAATTTTTTTTGCAAACTACCGAGCGTCCACAACCCGTCAATACATGTGTTGACGCCCTTTGCGCAGAAAACAAGAAATGCGGCAACAAAAGTCATAAAAACCAATGAGTGGTTAAGTTTTAAAACTTTAAACTAAAATGACCTGAAGTAATTTTCAAAATGATGATCAGATATTAATCTTGAAACGATATGAAACAAGTTAGCTGACCTAAAACCGTGTGTTATACTACACAAATTTAGCTTGAATACTAACCGACCGAAAATGTGCAGAAAAAAGATGTTCATTTTGAAAACTTTTCACAAAGATGTGATCTACCGAAGTTTTAATATCGTTATTTCAATTTTGTCTTGCATTAAGTTCTTTCTAAGAAAAGATGCCTCGAAAGACATTTGAAAGTTAACTTAGCAGAGAAATACAAATTACAAGGCGGTAACAAAATCAACAACACCTGAACAGACACACCTTTAGCCGAAAAAAAAATTATGCACATTTTAAACTTAAAAAAAAATCAAGTCCAATCTAATGATTTTGATAACAAACTTTTTTTGATCATCAAACGACTCGAGTTGAGGCCTCTGAGTCGATATAAGAGAATGGAAAACAATTTGATCCGAATCATGAAAAAAATCTGATACAGTAGAATTGGAGTTGGTGAATTTACCGACAATAAACACAAACCAGAAAAGAAGTTTTCAAATGCAGACAACTCAAAAATTGTCTGGCAGTTGACATAAAAACAGAAATGGAGATGACCCCTACCATTTGAGTTATCCTGGGAACAAAAAATATTCAAAAAAAATTTAGTGCCCGTTTGAAACACCCACTTGCTTATATCAAGAGTAAAAAAAACCTAACCCGAAATTATGAAGGCCAAAAAAAAACTTTTCTGATGCAGAAAAAAAACAAAGAAAGGAACTTATATTAGGTCAGGGTTAGCTAATTTACAAATTACAAGAATGAATCAACAACACTTGTTTAAAAAAATTTAGAACACAAAAAAGACTAAAGCTCAAGATTTAGCGACTCGACCGACAAACAAAAGTAGACAAGCAGGAGTCCGACAATTTAATTTCCCGGAAAAAATTCAACTTGAAAACGTTTTTAAAAACAAGGTCCGGCTAGGATTTAAACCCCAGACCTTAGGATGCAAATGAAACCGCATTACAGAACGTGGTAAAATTATCACAGACCTTTAAGAAAAAAAAGGCTGTTGAAAAAAAGTCTGGTTATCGATTACAAAAGACTAGCTCTCGCAAGTGCCAAGAACAAAATTTTTGAAAAATTTTTTTTTCCACTTTTTTCATAATTGTAACGTTTTTCATCGTTGGCGACGTATGCTAAAACGCAGTCTCTGAGAATTTATTTTTGATAGTTTGAAAAGTAAAACTTAGCTTTTGTAAATATAGGAAGCGTTTTTGGTCTGAATTCCATTTTTTTGCTCTAGATTCGTCAAAATTTGATATAGACTTTTCTCGATTTAGCATTGCATTCTTGAATTTTTAAACACGGAGGCAAAATGGAACTACGCATTACTTGAGGTACATCAAAAAATAGCAGGGGAGCCATCCAAAACATAGAAAAAAATGGAAAAACTTCGTTTGAAAAAAAAAAGAAAAAATGAAAAGCAAAAGACAACTCTAGTCTATAGAGCAATTGATCTTTAAAAAATATTTTGAGATACATAAATGTTAAATAAGCATTGAAAACCCAAAATGTTTTAACCGGTTTTTGAGCAGACAAAACTTGAGTAGACGACTGACAAAAAATCGCTATAAAATGATTTGAGCTTTCAAAAATGCCACAGGTTTTACACCCATTCCGGAAGTACAAATGAAACATAAATAATTTTTGTCCTTCTTAAGACCAATGTGAGGCAATCCGACAGCTGCAGCATTATCCCAACGTGATAATATCCATCGAAAAGGATCAAAGCAAAAAGGAAATTAAAAATAAGTGTTAGTTTGTTGAAACCCACGATAACAGAACGGTCATTTAAAATGCAGAAATATTCAAAAAATTTATGTATTAATAGACATACTATTTTTGTTGCAATCAGAACAGGCATTCTAACTGATTTAATTTAATTTTAAAACTGGTTGTAAATCTGAAAAAGTAACTGATTTAACGTGGGAGAAAAAAAATAACACCCAAATACAAATAAACCTTGTTCTCTCTTTCAGTTGCTTGGAGCAAACATAACTCAGAGACAAAGCTGAGCTTCGCACCACTTGCAATACAAAATAAAGCGCCAAAAATCAAAAAATAATGTGTTCCTTGCAAACAAAATTTCTGCATAACCAGTAGGAACACTTGGGGATTAAATGCCCCAATACGCTATGTGCTATTAAAAAAGATCAAAAAGAATGAATGCAAAAATTACAAACAATTTCCCGAAAAAGAACCTGCGATAAATCGGAAAAAACCCTGAAAGCCTAGAAAGTAACCCAATTACATAAGACTTATCAAACTTGAAATTTATACGCAACGGTAAAAGAACTAGCTGGATCACAACAGCAACAAAAAATACATTAAAAAATACGCCAGTGAGGCAAATAAAAAACACGAAAATTTATGTATTTGTGAAATATCTCAGCCATACTCCACACTTCTGGATCCAGTACAACATTTGCCGCCACACTGTTTTGAACACATTGAGTCAATTTTGCAAAAAAAAGTCTGCATATCCGTTTTTTTCGAAAAGTTTTTGGCATATTAAATTAATACGCAAAACCATCAACTTGAAACAAATACAAAGTAAATTGCTCAAATCTAAATCACCTTGAACTAATAAAAACTGAAACTACTTCCACACATGTTAGGAACAAAGAAAAATCATAAACAAAAGATCTGAAAAAAAATGAAATTTCAATGCAAAAAAATGTCTTAAATTTCAAACAATTTTCTTTTTCTGACTGAAAAGCTTAGCACTCATAAGAACCAGGTAACTATGAATAAGATTTACTCTCATGAAAAAGAAGAAAAACGCATCCAAAATTGAACACAAAAAGTTACAGAAATTTAATACCCGCCAAGAAAGCGACAAAAAATGAGACGAAATCAATAAAGCCGACAAAATCATCATTTTTTCAGCTGTAAAACAAGAATCATTTCAACAGCTCTAAACCAGTTGTTGAACTACAGCAATTAGTTGCTCAACCTCGGTAGAAATTAATATTCAGATGACCAAATTTTAGCCATATTATGAATAATGTTGTTTACGGGAAAAAATCTAGTACCCGATTGCAATACCCTTGCTTATCGCAAGGGGAATTATTAGTACGCAAATTGTGAAGAAAACTGCTTAAAAAATTTTAACCAGCAAAATTTAAACTTTGTTTCAGTGTTTTTCCAGTTATCGCTTCTTCTCAAATGATTCAATTTTTTTTGGGTAGAGGGCAAAAAAGGCAGCCTTGAAAAAAGCGGATACAGATAGCTCACTTGCCATGCATTTAACTAAAAATTTCGCCACGCAAATTAAGCTTACATTTGGAAAAAGGTGGATTTTCCTTGCAAAAAAAAATATAAAATAAAAAATGTTTGCCATGAAAACCTGTTTTCAAAAGTGTTCATAAGGAGCAGTCTTTTATAGCTCTACTATATTCAGAGTAGTTTCTCATATCTCTGATGATTACTTATTCTCTTTTTAATAAGATTCGACACCACAGGTATTGTTTTTGAGAAGACGTTTGACCTTCAACGCTTGGAAAATAAGTAACAAGTATTTCAATTGTTTACGTTCATAACTGAGAACAGAAATTGTTTTTTTTTCAGGAATCACAACTGTGTTGACAATGACCACCATCTTCACCAGTTCCAGAGCATCTCTTCCTAGATTCTCCTACGTCAAGGCCATTGACATCTACCTTCTCACTTGTTTCGTCTTCGTATTCGCCTCTCTCATAGAGTATGCAATTGTGAACTTCAACTACTGGAAACTGACTCACAATCGAAACAAGGAACTCAAGAAGCAGCAAAAAGCAGAGGCAAAGGCTGAGCAGAAGCGATTAGAGGCAAGTTCTGATTTTTATCTGTTTACAACAAGGCGAAGTTGTACTTCGCAAAGCCTAGTAATATATGGTAACTTTCTAGAACGATTTATGATTGGCGCTTTTTGATAACATTAACCAAACTTACAAAAACTGGATCAACAGGTGAAGTTTTTATCCGCTGGAAATCTAAAAATTAAATTCCACTTTCGAAACTAGAAATCGTTCACGTTTTTTTTGCGCCATTTCCGTGTTCATATTTGGAGAGTTCTATTTACGTCACTTTCAGCAGATGAATTTCAATTGAACTCAAAAAGGGCATATATACCAAAGTGCATTCATAAATGTATCAGTATGTATGAATGCACATATGTAGTTCTTGGACTTTTATGCACATTTTCAGACTTTTCCTGAAAAAAAAAATAGCAAGACCTTTATAAGGATCTTCACAACATTCATTACTTTTAAGCGCCCCAAATCAAAAGATAATGTCTCAAACGAAAACTAAAAATATTGAAAGAATTTTGAAGAAGAAATCGTAAGCAAACAAATCAAGAAAAAACATTTTGCAAATATTATAGAAAACAATCACCTAACACGTAAGAAAGATTCTCGCCACAGTCTTCTATATACAAAACAGCCAAATCAAAATTGCTGAGCAAACTTTGCAAAACAATGAATTTCCTGAAAAAATTTCGATATGAAAACAATAAGCAATCAACTTGAATTGATTTAAGTGAAATTGCTCTAACCTAAAACACACTAAGCGAATTAAATCTATAGCGAATTCCGCACATTCTTTGAGTAGCTCTAGAACAGCTTTTAAACGTGCGTGCAACGTTCGAAAATTGGAGATCCTGTGCATGAAGTTCTTCAAGGGAAAAGAGTCTGGTACCCGACTGTAGTACCCTTGCTTATCGCAAGGGTAGTAAAAATCAGAAAACATACTTTATAAAATTTTTTAAAATTTACCACTTTTGGTTGAAGCTCTAAATTTCAAAGAATATCTTACGATGAACGTATTTCTTAAGAAATCGTTGGATCGAGAAATCAATTTTTAAAATTCGGCTAGGAAAACTAAATATTAAAATCTTCTTTCGAACCTACACGTTAACACCAACACTAGAACTTTGCCGCCAGTCGTATAAACAAATTTATAATGGGCGTGATTACAAGATTAAAACAAAGTTTAAGTTTCTTCATCACTTTATTTCAGAAAATGGCAGCTGAAGGAATCTCTGAAATAACTACAGCGGAGAGCCTGAGATTCGAACCACCCACTCCTCGTAACAACACTGAGAGCAACCTTGTTAACAGAACCAAATCATTTCCGCTCCCAGCACAAAGCCAGAGCAATTTGGTAATGAGCGGGAACATTGCACAGACAAATAATACTTTTATGGATTCACAGAGCTTCGACCAACTAAGCATGAAGAGCTTGTACAATGATTCATCGGTTCCTTACCGAAACGGAGACGCACTCCCAACTCCGACGTCGTTCCACCCAGGCTACATACGAACTATACAGTTCGCCGATTACGGTAACAGTCCTAACGCTCCTCGAGACCAGCAAGGGCAGTTCCAGAACCACCGGGCTTACATTGTCCAGCAAAACGGAAACGAAGGATTCTATCCTTCTAATGTCCAGATACCGGTGTTCACAGGAAACCCGAGCAACCCAAGTCAGGCGATAATGGCTGCCGTTCCATACGTTCCTGCGAATGTCATCTCGAGGAACCCCCAACGTCGGAACTTGAGTGCTGACGGACTGAGCTTCACCACTATGCAACCCGGTGGATACACGTTGATTTCCCAGAGTTCTCAACCGTTTCTATCTCCTGTACAAAAGGAGGCGGATGACTTCAGAGGAGGTTCTTCAAATGAGTGGCAGGAAATCAAAAGCTCCGTTAGTAAAGTGTGCGATTCGATGTGCAGCATATTCAACAGATTCCCCATACCATCTGGCCAAAACGTGATTGTTATCGACGCATATTCTAGAATATTTTTTCCAATCGCTTTCGTCATTTTCAATCTACTCTACTGGTGGCACTATATTATGGATTCCGACTCCGAATAGATTGGACCCAGGAGTTCAAAAGAATATAGTTACTGCCGAATTACAAGTCAAAAAATAACCTTTGTAAACCGCTCACGCATATCCTAATAATTTCGAAATGTTTAATAAGAACGTCCATAAAAATCATGGCGAAACAATGAAATGTATGAACCTAAAATCTAATCTGAATTTGTATTTTCGGCATTAACTAGTCTAGTCTCTGAACAAGTTTGAAATATCTCTCACACAATAATGACTGTTATAGTTTGCAGATTTTATCACTGAACAATTGATTTAATAATCAGATACATAGAAAATTCTGCTTTCTCGTTATTATTTCCTTATTTTAGCAAAATAATGTTACTGTATTCGCACACTCAACACCTAAATTATTTCTTAATATTTTAGCAGATACACATTTTTGCAAATAATATATTGATGTTGACATAAAATTCAAAATTATCTATCTAAATAAAATGATAGTCTATTGTCTTTACATAATTTCAAATTTGTCATCACAATTTAATCTTGATCGACTGTTTGTTGTTGTATTGTATTCTAAGCGAGAATTGTTTTTTACTAGTTCCAGATAACTCGCGGGTGCCAGGCCACAAACATCGCCATCAGTTGAGACTAGAAGCCAGTCTGCTGGAACATCCCAACCAACGTAATCTAGAACAATAGTGCCATAAACATCTTGCTCAAAGTTGCACTTTGCATTTGAAAGCAAAAACATAGCCAACTGACAGTTGGAAAAGAGTAATGAATGCAAGGAAACTGAAACAAAAACTGACTTGTTTTTTTTCCAAAAACCTTTTTGAATTTCGATGAAAAAAAATAGATGGCCTTAAAGCTCTTTAAATTTGTAGAACAAATTATGATGGACACTTTTTTGTTAAAATTAACCCAAGTTGAGAAAACTGGATCAATAGGCAAAACTTTTATTTCACTGGGATATCTGATAATAAGTTTCCATTTTCGAAATTTGAAGACGATCATTACTTTTCGTGATCTTTACAATTTTGCTGTTCGATAGTGGACTTTACCTTCCTTTAAACAATAGAAATGAATTGAGCTTAAAAATAAATCACAAGTCAAAGCGCAAAAAATCAAAATAGAGCGTGAATAAATTGAGACTTTTTCCTGAAAAAAAAAATTAGAAAAAAAAATAGCAAAACATATATAAGAGTCCTCACTACGTTCATTACTCTTAACTAGAGGGAAACTTCAACCGGTTGTCTCAATTCATTGTGAATGATTTACGACCCAGATTAAGTCGCCGCGTATACAACCTGCTAACAGAAAGCTGGTAGAAAGCTACTAATGTTGGGAAAGAGCCGGAAAATCGTTACGGGTAAAATGTCTTTCAATTTCGAGCTCAGGACATCACCCAAACGTTTGCTTGCGTAAGCACATAGGAGCGTAAGCACATTGCTTGCGTAAGTCATCACTTTCATTTCAATAAAATATGCCTGAAAAAGTAAGTCGTAGAAAACGTCGTATGCCTGAAAATTAAGTCGTAGAAAACGTCGTATGCCTGAAAATTAAGTCGTAGAACACTAATTCGTAATATCAACAGTATATGGATGAGTTAACATCTTGGCGAAGCGGAAAAAAATTGGTCAATTTAAAGTCTTTGATTTCCATGAACATTTTCTGATCGACACTTTCGTTAACATAACAAACCCAATTTGAGAAAATGGTTTCAATAGTTGAAAATTTACTAAGCTGAAAAATTGAAATTTTTATTTAAAAAAAAATATTCACGTTTTTCTAACAATTTACACTTTCATTATTGGAGTGTCATTTGCCTTCTTCTGGTAAAGGAATTTGAATTGAATTAAGAAATAAATCAAGAAACAGACCGCAAAAAAATCAAATGTGAGTGCGAATATCTATCAGCACTATTTAACTAAAACATAATCAACAGATGTTTCTAGAAGTTTTATAGAACTAAGAAAAACCAAAAAAAATTTAATGATAAATTTTCAACAGGTTTCAATTTTCGAAGAAAAAGCTATCACGTTTAAGCTCTTTTGTATTCAATAAAAGTAGTTTATAATTGTCAGTTTATTTGTAAAAGTACCCAACTGAAACAAAACTGATCAATATTAAATTTTGTTGCTCGCAACAAGCAATATAATGGAATGAAAAATGAATTGGAAATAAATAACCGCCAAAAAACTGATTTACGCGGGATATATCCCCTTTGTTCGTAATGTAATTTACTATCGAATTATCGAAACGTTCACAACAGCTTGTAAAAATGATCCACATCAAAAAGCAGCAGTTGGGTGAGCCTCGTGGCTCCGAATTAGACAGATTGAGACTGGATCGGGGGCTCAGTGAACAAACTCAACGAGTTAAAAAAATTGCGATTATTGCAATACAACGTTTTAGAGGTCTTGTATTGTAATACTAGCATTGAATACTCGCTGCAGACACAAAACAGAAACAATAAAAGATGTTCAGCTTCATTGTCTTGATATACACAATGAAGCAGGTATAATCTGTTACCGTCCCTCTGATATAAAGTCATATGATCGGTTGAATCACACTGAAATTAAAATCTCAGCTACGTCTAGCTGAGTTCGTCCGACATTGAAAAGTTATAGGCTTCGGCGAGAAACTACTGGTCCACCGACCCGGACGTAACGAACCACAAACAACGAACCACGAGTGATACCAACGACCAGTACGATCTACGGAACTTCGCTTCCAACGACCAGAGAGATCAACCAGCTGTTGCGAGCGTGCAGCATGGACGACACGATCAGTCAGTACGAACGTACCTGAAGTTGGTTCACTTCAGAAGTGGTCCCAAGACGTGCATTTCCAAGTAAAGGGATCGGATAAACGTAATCTGATCGACCTTTTCAGTGACCGATCTTGAGGTCTTGCGAATCTCTTGCTGTCAAAAGAGAGACTCTCATATCGATCAGCAAAAAGGATCGATTGATAGAGGATGCTGTACCAGACGAACGTCTGCAAGCCGAGCTCGAAACGTCTTGTGAGTTTAGATCAGAGGTACGAGAAATCATTCAGCAGACGAATGACTTCTTGGAAGATCAGCGAGAGTCTTCGAGAGAAACGACAGAAGCGAACGAGCTTCAAACATTGTTCTAACCAAGACCAAGTCAGATCAAGTTGCCTAATATCGATCTTCCCTCTTTCAGTGGAAAGTATACTGAGTGGACGAGCTTCATCGACCAGTTTGAATCTGCAGTACATGGAAACCCAAACCTACGAGATGCTGAGGAGTTAAACTACCTCAAGTCTTCGATTCGAGGAGAAGCAAACGATCTGGTCAAGAATATTGCAATAACTGATGTGAATTACGAGCTTGCTAGGAGGACTCTAATGGACCGGTTCGACAACATGAGGTTCAATGTGAGCATGCACCTGTGCTATGTTGAACTACCCGAGTTTGAAGACTGAAGATGGAACCAGCCTCAGGAAGCTTTTACAGTTTTTCGCGAAAATGTGGTTGCATTAGAAGTGCAAGGCTGTAACACTCAAGACTGGGATCCAATACTGGTTCATGTGATTGAACAGAAACTGGATCCGGAAAGCCAAAAGCAATGGCAGCTTCACAAACCAGGCGTAGAGCTCCAAAAACTGCAGGAGCTTGACGATTTCTTTTGTGCACGAGCCAGGGCACTAGAAGCAGTGAAGTCATCAATCAATTTACAAAAACCAATTATTCCAATTGAAGTACACGCTGATGTCCAGGGTAAAATCGATCGAAGACAATCGTATGAAGCAACAACTGTGGACAAGCAACGTGTGTTTTGTGGTGCACTTCACACTGTGATTGCATGTAACGAGTTCAAGAAGTTGAAAGCACATACACGGAAAGACGAAGTGACTTCCAAACGACTGTGCTTTAATTGTTTGCGCCCAGGGCATATGGTAACGAATTGCCTAAGCTCACGCAACAGTAAGCAGCGTGGAAAACGATACCATCTCCTTCATGTGCAAAATCAGCGCATGGAACAGCCTAACCCAACTGGAAGACTAAACGACTCTCCTACAAGAGGAAACAACCTGTGTACGGAACCCGACAGAACGGCCCTACTTGGTTCTTGCAGGATACCGTTGTTCAACCATCACATACAGGAAATCTTTTGCTGTGCCTTGATAGACAATGAACCGCAGTTAAACTTCGTCAGTGAAAGCTTCGTAAGACGTCAAGGGTTGCCTCGTAAATCAGTCAGTCAAACAGTTAAACCAGTTGGAACTGCCGCCCCTGAAGACGACAGGTCTTGTGCCAATAACTTTGCCATTGCCTGGAAAAGACACTACGAGCAGACTTGTTCATCATACCCCAACTTTCATCCGATCTACTAGGCGACGATATTCATGTACGCGAACATAACCTTCCGTTTCGATGTGCACTGGCGGATCCAGCTTTCGACAAAAGAGGATGGATTGCTCTTCTATCTGGCGTTGAACTGGCAAACGAGCTCACCACTGGTAAACGGATACGAGAAAGATCTTTCACTTTGAATGAGTCAATTTTTGGCTGGATTGTGAGTGGATCAGTACAGTTACTAAGCAAGCATAATGCCGCTAGAGTTTAGCAAACAAACTTAGTCAGTCAGGATTCTGATCTGGAAATTAGCTTTAAGGACAGATTAGCACTTGCCTTTGAACCGAATTCCCCGCTCGAAGGAAGAAGAGTTTGTTGAGGATTACTTCGACAAAACAACCTCAACTCAGCCAGATGGTCGCTACTCTGATAGTTTGCCTTTCAAGACAAACGTTGGAACCCAAAGCGATTGCAAAGCCAAAGCACTAAAACGATTCTTCAGTCTGAAACGCAAACTCAAACAGGATATGGTTTTGTACACTCAGTAACGCGACTTCATCAAAGAGTTCTGAGACATGGGTCATCTAGAAACTGTACCCCCAGATGAGCTCGCAATGTCAGAGAAAAAAGGCTACTATCTACCTTATCGCAGCGTTCTAAAGGATAGTATAACTACAAAACTATGAATTGTCTTTGAGGCTAGTGCCCGAACGAGTACCCGAATTTCACTGAGCGATGCACTGATGGTTGGCCCCAAGCTTCAAAACGATTTGTTTGATCATCTGCTAAGGTTCCGACGCTACCCCATTGGAATCACCCGGAGACATTGCAAAGATGTATCGTCAGGTTGTTCTTAACAAGCAGGATAAGGATTATCACCAAAACTTCGGGAGAGATACCCACAACCAACCGATGGAAGCCTACAGGATGACACGAGTGACACATTGGATTGCTAGCAGTTGCTATCACTCTGTACGATCACTCATAAAAGCAGGCAAGCATTCATGTGTCGGAGAAACAATCAATCGAGACTTCTACGTCGATGACTGGCGCAGATGACATATCCTCTGCGAAGAAGCTGATCAATGACGTTAGATGTCAATTAGCAACAAGACAGTTTCCTCTACGAAAATTTGCAAGCAGCTCAGCAGAAGTCATGGAATCCTTGCCCAGTGACCTGCGCGAAAACGAGCACGGGTTTTCAGCAAAAGACTTCTCTGTGGAAGCACTAGGAATCAAGCCGCTTCCGACAAACGATATCTTCGTCTTCAAATTTACCCACGATCTAAAGAAGAACTTGACAAAACGATTTCTACTTTCAGACATCTCTAGGATCTTTGATCCACTGGGCTGGCTGGCT